CTCAATTTGCTGTAAGGCCAGTCCGAGCTGTTGTGGACGGAAACCAGCACGAAGGGGAAGCAAGCGGCAGAGCGGACCGCATCGGCCAGGCACAGGTCCAGGAGAAAGAAGTAGGGGGCCTTGTGGAGTGTCCGGTCTCGCAGCACTAGCATAGACACCAAGAGGTTTCCCACGAGGCTGACACAGATGATCAGCCCCAAGAAGACCAGCTTAAAGTAGGCAGAAACATCTGTGGCAGAGAGACCTCCACTGCTGCCATCACTGCTGCCATCACTGCTGCTGCTACTGCTGCCACCTTTGGCCGGTCCGCTCTGGGAAGCCAGCACGGCCAGTAAACTGCCAGGGCCATCGATGGCGAAGCTCTGGTTCGACATTCTATCACCTTCCAAGAGAGCCTGCCTGATCCGGGCCCTTGAGAAAACAGCTATTATCCTCCTGTCGCCGCCGTCGTCGTCGTCTCCCCTTGGTCTCTACAAGGAGAGGCCGAGCGGATCTTCCCTACGCGACAGAATCATCTCTGTTCTTTGTCCACGGCTTCAGCGCCTGAGAACAGAGACACACATTTCCGAGGTTTAAACTAAAAGGGAAACAAGATGTCTGACCTGCGTGTTGGTGAACTCAGTGGATACAAAACACACAAGTGTCGTGTTGGACGACACGGCTCTGAAATCTCTGCCTTCCTGTTTCCCTAACGCTGGGATCAGATCAGCAGCTCTACAGCATGCCAGCTCCTTGGCTCTCTCAGTAATTACCTAGCCCGTTGCTAAGATACTACAGCTCACATACTTTGTGCAAGTGTGGGTGTTTGAGTGAATGCATGGGGGTGTACAGGGATGGAGGGCGGGTGGAAACGATGAGGTGGGGGGGGAGGTGGAGCAGACACAGCATAACCAACCCTGGGCATGTCCAACAAACAGAGATGTTGTAAATGAGCAAAAGGACATTTTATGCTTTCCCCTGCACTCCTCCATTTGTGTGCAGAGGAGCAGGATCTGTAGCATTCGTAGCAGAGAGCAAATATGGGGATGTAGCAGCAGAGCAGGGGCAGCCATTTGGGTTTTTTTTTTCTTTGACTCTGCGTCTGTGTGAAGTGTGCCGCCTCACTCAACAGGAGGCGATAAAGTGATAGTGATAAAGCAATGACAATTCAACAAGCCAAATCCGAACCAATTTTATATCTTTATATGTCCACATATTTACATCTACAGATATAAATATTGCGGGTGGGGATGACAACAATGCACAGGGACTCTGGTTTGGGTGGGCCTTAGTCAATGTAGGCCACGGACATAAAATCTACTCCCTCCAGCTCTCATCTTTAAACAAAATTAGAAAGCAAATAATTTCACCTGATTAAATGGCTGCCAGCCCAGCAAGGCCTGAAACACAGGGTGGAGTGAAAAACAGATGAACAGGTGTCAAAATCACCTCTGCTGGGTGTTTTTTTTTCTCCCCTCTCCTCCTTTTTCATATGTGCATGTTTGAAACGGACATGAATGATAACCTACCTTTCATTTCCTCATTGTATTTTTGTCTCCTCTTAAAAAAACACGCACCAAAAAAAAAAAAAGAAAAAAAAAAAACAGGATCCCAGTCGCTTTGTTTCACTGCTCGTCAAATCGAGAGAAAGACACATAATAAAGCTTCATAACCCCCGATGTGCTCAGCAACACCTGTTATGCATAAATCCATCCAAAAGAGCGACATGGAATAAACATGAGAAGCTGCAGAAAACCAATAGCAATAATCAACAGCTGATCCAGAATGAGGGGGATGTGTTTAAATAATAACAACAATAAATAATAATAACAATAAAACCCACCGCCACCCTTTTTACAGGGGAGGGATGGAGGGATGTGTTCATTTGAATATCATCCGAGAGAACAGATTTTGCGTTGCATCACGTCGCTGGGATGGATGGCATCTGTTTTTCTCTGATCATGTATTTCCAATTGATGTCAGAATCTCGACGCTCAGAATAACCCACCCACCACCGCCGGGGAGGAGAAAAAGACCGCGGATCCCCTAAATAAAACGTCTTGGCGTGCACAATGGCTACTGGCAGCAGGACAATTAGTCCACCCAGACAACAGCCTCGGTACGCCTCGGTTTCCCATCTTTCGGTCAAAGAAACACCGTTTAAAACGAGCGAGGCGAAAAGCGATGCATCTGCCGCTGATCTGTCGGTGTGCAGTCTTTGTTTTGCTGCCGTGGCGAAGGTGGGCTACATCTTAATGGTCCGTAATAAAAGCCTCCATGACAGATGGAATATATGAGGAAAAACCGGAGCCCAAAACAAAATCCAGCCGAGGTTTTTATATTTATATATAAATATGAAAACGAAGCGATGGTTTAACCTCGGAGACGCTGCGCTTCGAAATCACCTTTAGGATTTCAGCAAATAAGGTAAAAAGGCGAAGGAAAACAGCGCGGCCAGGATCAGGCGAATTATTCCTGAATAATCCCAATTATGGCTGCTGGCGAGGAGGCAGCTCGCACATTCGCGGAAAGCGTCGGTTTTATTCGGAGGGAGAGAGAGAGAGAAAGAGAGAGAGAGGGAGAGAGAGAGAGAAAGAGAGAGAGAGGGAGAGAGGGGGAGAAAGAGGGAGAGGGGAGGCAGACCTGCTGTGCGGTGTTGTGGGCCACGACTGAAAAAGCCTCTCAGGGATCCGGGAGGCTGAGGCTGTTTTCTACCGCATGGACACAGAGAGGAGCTCCAGCTCCAGAACCGGGCCGGATGGACGCGCCGCACAGGCCGTCAATATGACGGGAACATGGAGGAGGAACCTGCGGCACATTCAGCCAGACATGTCTGCAATCTATCAGACTAACGTCTCAGAAAGCTTCTGGAAAAAATAGGATGTGTATAAGATTAACGTCTGAAGATTTTTTGAAAAAAAAAAATAAAATTCTGAGTTTGAAAAGTGGAAAAACTTACTAGAAAAAAATCTGAAAGTTTTAGAGTAATCTCAGAAATTTTCTTGGACATTTCTGAGGTTGAAAAGTAAAAAAATTGCTAGAAAAAAGTCAAAGTTTTTTCTTAAAAAAAATTCTGAGCTCAATCTAAAAGTTTCAGAGTTTAATGTAAATTAAGTTCTCCTTTATTTTCCTAATATGCCGTTGAGGTAGAAAGAGACTCTGGTTCTGTGAAGAAGAAATGGACCCGGTTCCTTTTTAGGACCCTGTGAAACCCGTTTTGTCCTCCAAGTATGATTTTGATGAGGGAAAACATTATAACATGAGATAAAGCTGAAAACAGTGGATTTCACATGATGCTGCACCTTTAATTGTTTTATTTGTTTGTATCGAATATCTGTGAACTGGACTGCAAATGTTTGAAGAGTTTAATGCATGTTGGACTTTAAATCGTTTAAAAAAAACCCAAAACATTAAAGAAAAAATCACAAAGTAATCTGTTTTTTGCGTTTTCCTTAGAAACTTGTTTTGAGACACCAAACGTCGACGTTTTATCTTTATACATACGTTTGTAAAGATAATTTTTATGTGAAAAGGCCAACACAAAAGTGGCAAACAATTGTAGAAAGAAAATTACACATAATTCAAAATATCCGATCATGATTGTTATTGAAAATGAAGAAGAAAAAAATAAGATTTAGTCACACCAAACATCTAAAAATGATAATGTTGTGTGAAAGTATAACTCAGATCTCAGTTGTCTAGACAGTTTTTATTCACTGTTGATCAAGTTTATCCATTTTATTCTGAAGTCAATTGAGTGAATGCATTTTTACTACTTTTCCGACAAAAATGTCTATTGATTTTTCTGCAAAAGTATAAAAAAGGTGAGCTAGTTAATAATTTTATTTAAAGGCCAAACACACTAATAATCCAAAAATGGATTAAATTAGCACCATTGTATGACTGAAATAATAAACTGAACAAACAAGAGGACAATAAAAGCCCCTGTAGCATCAGTTGTTTGTTTTTTTTAATAATCTGAAGCCGTCTATAACATTTCAGATTATAATCCTGGTTGGTTTTTCAGCCTTCATATCCGTCTCTCAGCCTACAAAGCCTGAGGCGCTGCAGGATACTATGACTTCAATGCAATGTGTGACCTTTGGCTTTCTTCTGCAGCTCATGTTGCAGTTTGTGTTCAGAAAGTGGAGTGCACTCTGCAGATGCTAGCGTTATTTTAAAAGTGACTCCAGTTTATTCTGCTCTGCACAACAATGCCACGTCTCTGCATTAAGCCAAAAGAACCTATTTTGAAAAACAGATGAAGGCAATAAGGTCAGACAAGAGGGGATTGGATCAACTTTAATTTTGGGACAATTCAAAAACGTTCACCACTTCAAACATTAGATTTTGTGCTTAAAGTCATTTGTGAGGCTCACAAAACAGTTGTACAGTTTGGTGCAACAACATCGAGGGTTTACTGGCATGAATCAACAGGAACTCCCGTCATCGATATCACTTCTGGCTCCAATTTTTTCCTTAAGCTGACATCATTTACTAGTGAGTGAGGCAAAGTCGTTCTCATGCACTTTACAAACAAAACTCTATTTCAAGATTTTGTGCCACACTGAAGACGTAACACTCCACAACTTAAAATCAAAAAGTCGCCAACGACGTGGACCATTTTAAAACGTAACTTTCTGGCAGCTGGTTGCTGCCATCTTGATATTCTGGATGCATCAGAGACCATATTTAGAAAAGACGGAGGAGTGTCGTTATCCCTTGTTTGAGTCACTGCCAGGTGTAGAGCTTTGCCTGCATAAGCACTCTCAGAAGAGTTCTCCCTTGAGATTAAAATGTAAAAATATATTCTCAATTTATTGCACTGTTACACCCAAAGGCTTCAGCATTCGCTCAACCTTTAACTGTGTCATAAAAGTTCAGGTAAAGAGACAAACCAGTACCAGTTAGAGGCAAATCATGAGCTTTTGTGTTTGTGGTGGATGCTAGGGCCATTAGCATTAGCAGCTAGCATGCTGTGACGCACATTGAGTGGTTTGTTTTTGTTACTTACCTCAGACGTCTGATCTAACTCTCACCCAATTTGACCTCATTGCAGTTGGAAAACCAGTGAAGCTACATAAAATTAGCGATGGAAGAAAATGTATTTCACATTCAAAACATGAAACTGGACGTTCAACAACAGACCAGTGTGTGTGAGATACAAAACTATGTATTACAGCAGCAGTTTCTGAACATATGGCAGCCATTTTGGATTCCTAACTAGTTTCCGGCTAATGCAAAAATGACCTGTGCTGCAGAGTATCTGCTAAAAATAAAAGTGAATTATGTGGGATTTCCATATTTGCTTGATTAGCTGTTTTGGTCAGACTGGACTAAATATTGTTAGCATAAAACAGTAACAATCCTGCATTTTTCTTGTTTTTTGTACACTTAAACCTTGCAGAAATTTGGACTTATGAAAGGAAGGAGTGCAGCTCTTTATGTTTAATGAAATGCAAGCTCTCATAAATGCAGATAAACAGTTCATAAGTGAAGCTGTTGCTGTTTTTTTAATGCATGGCCGTCAGTTTGGAATTTTCCAAGTGGAAATTTGAACTTGATTTTACAATTTTAAGGGATGTTAGGGTTTCTTTTCATACTTTCCAGTTCAAATGGGTAACACTGGCGAATGAAACAGCAACACCAATTAGTTTTTCTGTAGCTGGGAACATAATTCACAAAAAACATAAATAAACAGATCATTTAAAGTAAAAACTGTGAGCACTAATTGTACTTCTAACCTGCAAGTTACTTTGCCTGGATCTATAACTGAGACAAAAACCATTTCCAGAGCAGATAAATCAAGTTTACCTGTTTTTTTAAATATAAAATTGCTTATTTTAACGATTGTGGAAGTTGCCTTCTTTTTGCCTGAACAAAATATATTTCTCTTTGGAAACTAAATGGGAGGCTTTTATTGTATTTTATTTTTACAAATACAATTTTAGAAATTCAGTTAACTGGATCAACTTGAGAATAGCCACCCTTAAATAGTCAATATGTGCTTTAAAACGGGAAACTATTAAGAAAATAAACATTTTCTCAGAGAACCAGGACGCCAGAATACGCCAGGAAATGATCCACTTAATAAAATCAGCAGCAAGAAACCATAAATAGATCAAAAACTGTGGCTTCATCAGCTGGATGTTATTATAGTCTAAGGTCCATTTTCAACGTAATTCTGAAAAGCATGATGAGTTTACGTGAAGAAATAACTATTTTTAAACAGTGAATGTTGTCTACAAAATACAGATGTTTTATAGATAAAATGGGAATCACTAAGAGACTTTAAGGCACTTTCTCACTGGCGTCACTTTTAATTTTACTGGCTATATTCATGTTTTTCTAACCTGAACCTGTGCTACATACGAAGAGTGCAACAAAAAGTGCATCTTCACACAAACTGGACAATATCACACAACATACTGGTCATATTTTCACACAACAAGAAAAGATAATTCATAGATTGTCTGCAGAAGACAATTGTGCTTTCCTTCTGCTATTCTGCTACATACATGGCATAAGCCTGCAAAAGTCTTCATTCCCCATTAGATTTCAATATTTTTGTTAAATTACAGTGACAAACTTCAACATATTTTAATTATTTTTGATCAAAATAAAATAAGTTATAAAATAATGCATTGTTTTGTTATTTTCAAATGAGAATCTGAAAATGAATCGAAGCAAAACAGATGATACTCAGATTAGAAGGAAATCTCAGTTTTTGAGTCTTACAAAAAATCCGTGAGTGGATTTATCTGACACATGAATGTGCTCTGATCATTTGATCTCTGGCTCATTGTTCAGGGTCGAAATCAACTCTGTCCTGATCTGAGGTATTTCACAGGTTCCTACAGATTTCCTCAGTATTTAGCTTCATCTGTCTCCTCTTTAGCTCTGACTAGCTCCTCTGCATCTCTGCATGAATCCACTTTACAGTAATGTGTGTGGGTTGATCCATCACATCAAACCCCGAAGAAATAGTTGAAAGTTTGCACTGTAGTTGTAGCATACACTGCAAAAACATGAAATATCACTCTATAAATAAGAAAAAGCTAACTTTTAACCTTTTAGCAAGAAATTTGGGTCAATAATTCCTTAATATTTATGAAAAAGTTTTAGCTTCTATAACTTTGGAAAAATGTCTGGTCATAAATGAAATAATTTGCAGGACTATTTACCTAAAATAAGCTCTTATATCTTGATTGTAAGTTAGTTTTGTCTCATTTCCGGTGTACTAAGATAGCTACTAGATTTTGTGCTTTTGCAACATAACAAAATGTGAAACAGCTTAACGGGGATAAACATTTTTACGAGGCTCTGTGTGTTTGAATTCTGAAAAAAAATCAGATAGACGTGAGCGTCAGTGAACTCACTGGCTTCTTTTTGGAATCATTAAAAGGCACTTCGCTTGACAGCAGATCAGACTGAACCTTAGGAGCAAATCCAGAAGAACCAGAATTACTAGTGTAGTGGAAAACTTTAAATGTGTCCGTTTCTAAATAAAGTGTAAGAACCAGGCTCAAATATGTTTGGTATCGTTGTATCTCCATATCCGGACCTGTTTCTCTTCTGATTTTCTTTAGCTTGGAACATACTCATACTTGTGCGTGTGTGTGTAAATAACTGTGTGGAAAACTTACATCGGGGTTCTGCTTCTCTGACCAGAGTCTTTGAACGCTTCAAATAAAGATATAAAGACAAAGGTGGCTCCTTCTTTGGTTTATTGAGCAGCTTCTCTACCTTCTGCTAAAGAGTTTCCACCACATCAGAGAGAGGGAAACACCCATGAAGATGAGGCACGGAATCAGATCGATGCTGTAGTCTTCTTCTCCAGACATCAGGCCTAGTGGATCGTCGAATGAGGCAGAGGGAGGAGCGGCGTCTTGGCTCGGCTCAGCGGCCTTCGCTGATGGTCGACCTCCATCCTCTGCTTCCACAAATGGACGAGTCTCAACTGCAGGTCTTCTGGCTGCGGACATTTCTAAAAACCTTTCTCTCAGATGGATGCGTTCTACATTGACTTCGTCCAGCTGATTGAGATAGGAGACACACTCAGCAGCCATGCTCTTGTCTCCTGCTGCTGGTGACAGAGGAGAGAAGCAAAGAAGAATTTCCTCTCTCTCAGCCTGAGACTCGTCTGATATCTGTTCGGGTTCTTGAAATGAAGGACGTATGGGAGATGACAACGCAGCGGGACGGCTTTGCATAAGCTGCTCTGGTGTTTCTTTCTCGTGCTTCTGGTGGAGTAAATGCAAAGGCTCAGACTTATCTGGTTCGAGTGCATCGGCAGAATTGGACTGAAGGTCGGGTTTGGAGGTTGCTGAAGGTGCAGCGGGTTTGGACGGCGGGGTGCTGGGAGATAGCGGCCTTTGTTGAGATGCGGCGGAGGCGCTGGACTGATGAACGGGTTTCTGTTAATCAAAGAGAAAACAACGAAAGCTTACAGCAGAGAAATTATTTCAAATCAACAGAAAAGCATTTTAAAACACACCAATGCTTTTCTCTGACATAAACGTCATGCTGACAGTGTGACGGTGAAGACGTAAAGACAGGTGAGAAAAGGTCAGCTCTGGAAATCGTAACTAGTAGGACCTCTTGTTGAAATATATTTTAAAAATCAATCAGTTCTTTTAAAAATATAAACATTAGTTTAATGTTTGCCTTTCATTTTGTTGATTTGTAATTTTTTCTATTGTATGTAATTGTTTTGTTGTAAACAATTACAAAACTCTAAATTGTCATAGAGCAGACAAAAAGTAAAAAGAAAAACTTTAAATCAGCAGTTGTCAAGGCAGGTATGAAATGTCTTGGCTGGTAAAAATTACAACATGGCTGACATACGACTCGAACTCCAAAGTTACAACATGGCAAACCTGTAATTTTTCCCAGAACACAGAAAAAAAACAACAACAAAAATCTATTTGTTATTGTTGTGATTTGTAGCAAAGAAAGCAATAGTAGAGACATGAAATAGGCATCTGTGTCACAAACAGTTTACAAACAATCCCAGTGTCTCGTCACCAAAACATCAATTTGACGATGAAAGCAGTCTTCAATCTTGACCTAAAACAACTAAACTTGGATGGTATCGGGCCGTAAAAGACAGAAAGTATCAAACAAGTTAGAAGGTTGTTTAGGAGAAAAATAAACCACAAAGGCCAGAAGTGTGAAATGTATTGAAGTCTAAAAACAATTTCCATTTCCAACTCAAATTTTTGTAAACTAGGATCCTACGATTCATAAATACTCCCAACCATTCAGGGTTCAGGTTGACTTGAAGTCACTTTATGATTACAACCACTGCTAAATCAATAAAACACTCGCAAAAAACAAAACAATAAGAAAAAAAAAATCCTCCAATTATGGCTGGACAATAAAGCAATCGCAATATATTAACAGACTATACATATGACAGAATATTCAGTAATTTTATTTAACTCTGATCCAGATCCACACAGCATTCTGTAGACGGAGGAAAGGCTAGCTGCTAGCCGCAAGCAGCTAGCCGCTAGCAGCTCGCTAAGCGAAGTTGGTGGCATGAACTAACTCACTTGCTCTTTGGTTACCTAGCAACGCACTCATTCTTTTAATCCTGTTGCCGCTTAACTGCTTAAAAATAAACAAGTTGAAACTGTGGATAAATAGTATTTAACAGTATTTTAGATATTTAAAACAAAACTAATGAATAATTACTGATGTGGGTTGAAATTGAATGCTTAAACAGTGAGCCGTTTTTTTCAGCCATATTGTCCAGCCCCACTTTCAGGACGATCAACCTCTTCAAATGCTTACACTAGAAAGAAAAACTGGCATCAAGTCATGATGTCATGCAGAAAGCATGCATGTGGGTACTGAAAGAGGTGACAAACACAACGGACGCAATCAGATCCGTTCTTTAAACAAGGTGACATAATTTTTTGGTTAGTTTATTCCTGAAAAAAAAAAAAGTCTTTCTTTATAATCTCAGTTTTAAGTTTTTTAGTTCCGTCTGTAGTCATTATTCTGCAAACATACAGACATATTGCAAACGGCAAAAACCCCAAAGAGCATGCAACGGATAGAAAACAACAGAAAACGTGCTGCAGGCTGAGAAGTGAGACGTTACCTAAGTTGTTGCTGACGCTTCAATGAGCTGTGAACAATATAAACAACCACACCAGAGATGATATGCTTCTTAACTGAAGTGTTTTAGATCCATGATTTTAATAAATAAACTGAATGGCTTTATCTGATCACTTGTAAAGTATGAAATTGTAATCAACTGCATGATCCGCCGTACTTTTGCGTTAACTTCTTAATCTTTTCCTTTTGTCCTTACCTCCACATCGATCTCAGGATGAATGATGACTGGACACTCAGCTGCTGGCCTGACTAGTTCTGTTTTTAAACTCTCTGGTTCCTCTGTTGATGTGAAACAGAAGAAATAAACTCAAAGATTAGAGATACTAAGAGTTGAATTTACTACTTTTTACTACCCCTACAACAGTTTTACTGCCAACACAAAATGGAGCCAATTTTGCGCCGATTTCCTCAATTGTGGGAGATTGGTGATCGGTCAATATTCACGTAAAACCAATCTCATCCTCTGACCTTTTCTACTTCAGCAAAGGTCTAAACTTTCCTCTTCTGCTCTGCAGTGAGAGGTTTACTGATGGACCGGCCCACCAGGTCATGTCTGCAAGCTTGTAGTTATCAATAGTGACTCCACTGTAACCAACCCAGAGACTTTCTTCCTGTGTTTAGCGACAGTTCAATCAAAAAAATGTCACTGGATAAAATTGAAATGGGCGGGTCAAACTTTTTATAGAGTAATAATCTATCGGTGCACTGACCCATGTCAGATGGCGGCTCGTGTAAGACTAAACTTTATCCCATACTAGGAGGTCTGACTGTGACTTTATCTTTACCAAAACCTCACATGGTAAAAACAGACAGCACTATTTTTAGTGCTTATCTTAAATCTATAAGATTTAGGATATTTGTTTGTTTTTTAAAGAATATCAGTGAAATGCAATGACATTCCAATTTCACAGGCCGACGTTTTATTCTCAATAAAATATTAGTTTGCTACTAATTGTCAACACTAGAACAGCTAGACAACAAGGTTCAAGGGTTTCATATTTCACAGGTCATTGAAAAGTTTAAATAAACAAATGCAATATGTTCATGTGTTTCGGTGACCAACACACCAACTCTGTCAGGTCATCGTTACAATTAGAGCAGCTGTTTGAATTAGCTAGTCAACCACCGCTGTGGTCAGGTCATTTCATAATCCCAAACATCAAGCCTGAAAACATGAAACTGTTAAGGACTGAATGTGTTGCCCTTTGTGTGGGGAAACGTTTGAGAGTTTTATGGTGTTGAATCCTCATACATATGGTGGAGCTGTTTGTTATTTTCCTGTGCAGTGGTGCACTGCTCTAAATTAGGAAGGTTTCATTTAGGTAACGGAACAGATGGCAAGGAAAAGAATCGTCTTTTTGCCTTCGCAAAATTTTCTGATGTAAACAATAACATAAAACGTGTCCAAATGGTAACAGCTAATAATGAATGATAAACTTGTACAAAAACGTTCTACCACTTTTCCTACAATCGACTCTTTGCATGTTAGCTTCCGCGTTTGGGGAAAAGCGGAAAAGGGTCTATATGTGCCACAGGTACAAAACACAGGTTTTTAAAATGTCTTCAGTTAATAAGCAACAATTTGATGTTTATTCAGTACCTTCTCCTTTCTCCTGATCTTCCTCTGATGTCAGACTGCAAGAAAAGAAAGCACATAATGTTGAACAATTTTTTTATGTTTTCTAAGTTGTGGTGAAAATGATCAAATAAAACATAAATACAAAACGTATAAATCCCTATAAATTTTAAGGGCGATTAACTTTCCTACTGCTGTGGTTGCACAATAAATTAAACTTCCTACAGATTAAATTTTGCTTAGTAAACATTAGTATATAATTAATAAAAGTGAATTTATCAATTTAAGAATCAAGAACGAGATGAAAATTGTGGAAACATGATGATCAAGATTGACCAAAACACAGATTCTGATATTATTTAGATTTAGAAAAATTTTTAAATACAATATCAGACTTACATAAAAACGGAAATAAACAAATAATTTGATTCTTTTAAAAAAATGAACATTTTATTGCCTAAAATGCCAGAACATGATATTTCTTTAGTGAATTTGATTCCTTAGTGAATCCTTTTGTCCCTTCATTTCTTGTCTACTTCGTTGTCATTTCATCCTTCCTATCTAAAAATAAGTCATAGACTTGAACCATTGTGTGATCATTTATTTTTCTTAGCAATTAGGTATTTTTAATAATTAAAACATATTTTAATAATGTGCAATTTACCTTTGGGATAAAGCAATTAAACTATGAGAATAAGCAGTAATAAAAATTCCAAATCTTATGTAAATGTTTTATTATATTCTGAAAACGTTGCCTTATGTCCCAGTTATTATGCATTTAGGTTCTGAATCAGGTTTGGATCAACCAATCCTGAAATATGACTGATTAGGAAACAAACCAACCCCTTGATGATAAATGTTATTTATTTGAGTTATAAAGCTGCATTTCTCGACAGAAGAATAGAGAAATTTGAGACATAATCTGATATAATTCAGGCCACATGTGGTAAAAAACCCAGCATGAATGTTAGCTAATATGTCTCAATATGTGCTGTTTAGTGGTACACAAGATGATTTAAATATTTGCAAGGTTTTTTTTTTTTTGAGAAACACCTGCTGGTTGTTAAATGCCAGATATGAGAGCTAAATAAAAACGAACACTTTGAAACAGGAATGTTGTCCACGAGTTTTCAAACGATGGGGCAACGCCGCATTGCCAAGAGCCCAAGCTCAGCATGCCAAAAGCTGAAGACGTGTGACAAGCATGTGACAAGAAGTGCAGGAGCTTCTTCTTGTGTTTTATTTCCAGAGTATGTCCGAGTTAAGACGAATGTCTGGTCTGTCCCTTGACCCTGAGCATGACATTGAAGGAAAAAATAGCTTGTTGAAGCCATGAGGGCAGGTGTGTGTGAAACTGATTTATATCACATTTATATATATCTAAGTTTGAATGTTTCATTCTTTTACTCAAGAGAAATAAAAATCAGACAAATTCAGGATTAACAAAATATTTTCGGTGATTTCTTAAATTATGTATCAATTATCTTAATCTGTAGTGGATAAACCATCAGAAATTATCGCCAAGCAGCTGCGGAAGTGAAAATCTACATGATGGCTATCAGTTTATGAACTGTTTGATCCTCTTTTTGTGTGGCTAACACGATGAGAACCTTTACCACAGCAATATCTACCATTTATCCTGTTGATGTTACAATAAATAGGAGGATTATTTGGCTTTGATAGACTGCAGCCTCTTAATTACATGTGGGACAGAGGCCAGTCTGCTCCTTTGAAATCGCTCCGCTCCCTTACGAGTGATAGAAAAGGTCAGAGTTAAATTTTAGTGTGAGGGGAAACGCCAGGACTGAAAACGACACCTGCCCTTTTCCTATTTTCATCGCGTCACACAGCACATGGGCCGCTGGCATTCAGCGCAGGGTGAGCGCTTTCTGACAAATCTCTTCCTGGGCAAGTGGACAAAAATGAAACAGAAATAAGAAATTCAAAGAAACGTGCCATTTGTGTTGTTTGAATATACGTCACAATTTGGATTCGGGTTCTTCAGTGGCAAAACGTCTACCACCGAGGTGAATGCTCGTTTTAGCCAGAAAGGCTCAAAGGGTATTAGTAAGGAGATACTGCTCTGTAGCTGCTGCCCCTGTGTCTGTGTTGCAGGGGTCACTCTATCTAGGAGCTAATACTGACCTGTGATGTTTCCTTGAGCAGGTTGGAATAGATCCAACATATTCATTGCATTACAGATAATGGTCAGTTCTTTAAATCCAAATGAGCTGTCTCTAGCAACTCAACATTCACAATGGGTTATAAATGTAACTACTCAATCATAGATCTTTCAAAAGCAGAAGTAGAGCCTTTTACAAGGCCATTGTAAAGCACCAAATGTACTATAGCTCTGCTTGGGTTGCTGGTGTCCCTCAAATGTGATTCAACAATTGAGATGTTTTGGAAACGGCTCGTTTTCCAGACACAAAAAGGACATGACATTTTTGTTTAAAAAGAAAAAGCTGGATGTTTTTTTAAGCACTCTGGTTGTTTTTAGAAGCAAATGGAAGAATAAAAACATGCAAAATGTGAAGTTTGCAGCATAGGATTCCTTTAAATTTCTTCAATTTTGTTTTTCAAAGGTTCTAAATGAGAGACAGAGACATAGTAATTTTTGCTTGTGAAGTTGAAGGAAAAGTTTTGAGTTCCCACCAACTAACTGGAACACGACATTTTAGCTGCAGTATGTAACTTTTAGTAGGACTTGGCTGTCAATCACCCTCTGTGTGGTGATGCTCCTTCTCCCCTCTTATTCCCACCTTTTTCTCTCTGCTACACAGCAGCTAGCAGAGTCTGTTGTGAATACTTAGGCTAAACAGTTCTCTTGTAATGGTAAGTTGTTTCTCCACCATTAACACATGAGAGTATACGAGACTGATTGACAGCGCTAAGACCCACCTCCTGGCTGTGATTGGTTACTTTTGGTTAGGAGTTGTGCATGTGGCAAAAGTAACTCAGGGAGGAGGTGAAAGAGATTGATCTTTTCATGGATTATCTTTGTTGTGACATACATTCACATGGTGACAGTTTTAACCAATATACAAAAAATATATACATGTGTTTTATGAAGTCACACACTGCAGCTTTAAAACTGATAACTTTCAGGGACACAAAACAGTTACCTGTAGACTTTCGGACTCTTCAGGATGCTTCTTTTTTGTGTCATATCAATGCTGGACTGGGCTGAATTATCTTCATAGGACAAAAGCAGCGTCACAGCGTAATTCCTGGAAAAGTTATTGGCCCAGTAATCACCAACCGAGGTTTCATAGCGCACGACAAACTCGATGCGTGAGCCGTGCGTTGTGTACGGTGGTGCAAAAGACAGCTTAAAGGAGAACTGATCTGTGTCGTCGACGTTAGATCCCAACACATACTCTGCAGGGTGATCAAAGTAAGTGCCCCAGCTGTCCATGGTTGATCTGATGTACACCGCTTTATGGAAGGAGATGTTCAGGACTCGAATTACTCCACTGAACGCAAGCGGCTCGTCCTCCAATGGGGATATCCGTTCAACTTCCACTTTGTTGGAGCGCACAGCCTGCAGCAGGACGCCGTCGCTGGGAACGTGGAACTCCGGGTGCACTCGATAGGTCGGCTCCCGCTCTGCTTTGCGGTATTTCGCCTCCTCCTCCTGCCACTTTGCGCTGTCTTCCTCGTCCGAGTCGAAGGCTGCGAATTCGCGCACGTCCACCAGATCTCCACCTGTTGTGTCGGCGAACGACACCCGCTTTCCTGCAGAGAGCGCCTGGTGGATCCGCATGTACTCGGCTGTCTCGTCGAAGATGGACGCGCCCCGCTTTCTGGGCACCGGGGAACACCTGGGGATGAGCCGGACATCATCGGTGTCATCATCATCCTCATCCTCCTCATCGTCGTTTTCCTCAGCGGCGTCCGTTCGTGAACTACCCTCCTCCAATCCGGCCGCTTTGCTGGTTTTAATCGTTTTGAAAAGGCCCTCTTGGCTTGGTATGGTTAAGAAAGACATATCTGCAGAAGAGTGCATATGCCGCCTTCAAATTAAACACTTGCAAGTACTCATGGTTTGAAGGCTGCGGATCCAGCGCCGTATCTGCGTTACGCACGGTGAAGCCCCTCCGTCCTGACAACGCGTGTGGCGTTAAATGTCACCCGTGGAAAACCAGGCTTTCCAGTCCTTGTGACAGACTATCCCCTGGCTAAGACGCCTTTATGCGGCGCTGCTTGGCAGCTCTTCTGAAAGCAGCAGCCTCTAATATTAGTGCTGGTTCCTTTGACGTGACCCAAATGTGTTTTTTTTTAAACTGGTGTAATCCTACTGCACCCAATGCTTCTACTCAGTCCGGGCTGACTGAACGCCCTCTAGTGGAGACAGTGGGTAAAGAAAACCCTCTTGACACATTTACTCAATTCAGCCTTTGAATGAAAAGATGAATAAATAAAACAATAAACTAAATAATACAAAAATAAATAAATAAAAATACTCTACGGATTTATATCCGTAGATATATAAAAAGTCAGAATATTAAATAGGAAATATCCCAGGCTTTCATGATTTGTTTTGATAGGATTTGTACAATTTGATTTATCAGCATTTTGGTGTTAACATTCACCTTCTGCACTGATCAAAAACTAAATAATAATAGTAAAAAAAAAACTAAGCAAAATTCAATACAATTTACCTGTCAAAAATGACACTGATTTTATATAACTGAGAATATATTACACCTATTTGTCTTTTAAAGTATTCAAATAAATTTTATATTGAAAACTCATATGAAAAACTGAAAGCAATTTAAATGTATTGTTCAACGTCACTCTAACCAACCCAGAAATTAAAAATGCCTTTAATGCCGTTTAAATGTCATTATTTATGGAAGAAGTGAATTTCAATATTTGGACGTCGTGTCCTTTTTGCGCAGTTAGCTCCACCTCAGATAGAGCGCCATGTAAACACACCCTTGCCGATGATTGGCTGAGATGTTTTAGCGCGGCGTGGCGCAGCCAATCAGAGGATTGTTTTTCTCTGGCGTCGTTTCACGGGTAGTAAGCTAACGGATAATGCAAATCTAAACTTATCTCGAGAACGCGGGTAGTTTTTGGAAGGGTGCATTGTGTTGGTGGGGTTGAATGACTAAATAAAGTATTTCTTCTTGGAATTATATTGGCGGAGATGCTGTGGTGTCGTCAAGGCGCGGATTCAATAATTGGGTAACGTAAGCTAACTAAGTTAGCTGCAGCTTGCCCATTTTAACGTTCCGCGCGAGGCCGCGGAGAGTTACGAGAGCTGCTTCCTGATCTGTGGTTACCAAGAATGTAGTTTAAAACTACCAAATATATCGTAACGTTGCGCTAATTGTAGAAGCTGTTGCGCCAACGGTGTAATCGATCGCACTTATTTTTAAGAGCCCGCTGGCCTCCTAGCCTGTTAGCACGTTCGCTAGCCTGCTAACATGAGTGAAGTGACTGGCTACAAACAGTCCGGTGACCCTGCATCAAGGAAACGGAGCTCATCACTCGACCAGGACGGAGATAATGCGATTCCTCATAAGTCCGCTAAAGTAAGTGACGACGCAAATGGAATTGAACAAACTTCAAAAAGTTGCGAAAACAGTGAAGTTGGAAGTAAAGAAGAAATTCACAGGAAGCCAAAAGATATCGTTGCTGAAGAAACTTCTGTGCAGACGGATAAGGCTTCGGACCGTACAGAAAACACAAGCGAGCTGCCCGTCAACAGCTCCAGGCCTGACGGTGACAACGCCGACATCACCGAGAAACCGCAGTCCTCAGAGGCCTCGGCACCCACCGATTCAAAAGAAGAAACCCAGAAAACAGCTGAATCAATGCACCTACCCATAACCCCTGTGGACCAGTCCGACTCCGCAGCCAGAGCAGCTGCTGAAGCACTGGCCAGTCTCACTGGCGGAGACGGAGAGGAAAGCCAAGAGACTCCGTGTTCATCTGCAAAAGTGAGACCAGTGAAACATGGAAGTAAAAACAAACAGCGACCAGGCCAGCAGCCTTCAAAAGTTGGCTCAAAAACACAAGCAGCTGCAGACAGCTCCACATCAGCACGGAGTACCGACAGAGAAGATAAAGATGATGCTGCGGAAGCAGACGAGGGGGATGACTCCGTCTCGGGATCTTCCTCCACACCCAGCTCCTCTTTCCCATCTGACAATGAGGATAATGATGATGGGGAGTGTGCGATTGTGTCGGTCAAAATGGCCCCAGAGATGAGGCAGTCTGTTGCTCTACTGGCACAAGTGCAGATGAGACTTGAGGCTCTTGAGAAGAAGAGCGTCAGACTCCATCAACGGCTGGAGCTGAAGATAAATCGCCAGAGACGCCCGCATCTTGATCAGAGAAGCTCCATCACAAAAACCATCCCGGGGTTTTGGGTGACGGCTGTATCCTTTTAACACCAATTTTGGGAGACTGGGGATCAACCGATACTTGCATGTGAAGCTGATTGTGTCCCCCAGTCTTTATCTATCTCAGCAAAGGTCTAAAAATCATCCATTGTAACTCAGTGACTTTCCTGCTATATGTAGCAACATTTCAGACAAGAATAATCGGAATCATCTTTTTTTTTTTTAATCAGCGATTAGATAGAAAACTGCAGTTGGTGCACCCCTACTTCTCCCTTGTCTGCTGCATGTTTTCTTTCGTTTGTTGTTTTTATCTTAACATTAACTCTTCAGCTGCTGAACCATCCTCACCTCTCTGCTCACATAGATGAGACTGATGAAGATGCTCTTAGTTACATGACTGATCTTGAAGTAGGTTTGATTGGTCCATATTTTAATTAATCAACTAATTTCACTTTAGTAAATGCAAAGCTGATTTATTTGTGCCATTCTCAGGTCGAATCTTTCAAAAACACCAAACTCGGCTACAGGATTCGGTTCCACTTCCGACGGAACCCCTATTTCCAGAATAACATCATTATGAAGGAATTGCACCTTGGCATGGGAGGTAATAGCTGTTTCCTTGTAAACTGAAACAAAAATGATGAGATTCTGGAAGCGTACTATCAAAGAGGATGATTTAAAGTTATTGTTTTTCCATTTTGTGTAACAGAGTTTGTTTTCAGGTAATGTTTACAAGTCGCATCCGAATCTGTCTGCTCCACAGTTTAACTACATTTTCAGTGTGACTGCTGTGGTACAAGTTTGTTTTTCTGATGCGTTCAGGGTCACCCATGTCATTCTCCAACCCCATCCTCTGGCACCGCGGACACAATCTGACCGCTAACAGCGAGCCCAGGAAGTCATGCCGCGGCGTTTACGAGACGTTTTTTAGCTGGTTCAGTGACCACAGCAACCCAGTGCAAGACGATGTAGCACAGGTACAGATCACTGCCAGCTCAAGTTATTTGGGTTTTAAGTTGCCATGAAGTTAATATTTGTGCCTGGTGATGGTGACTGAGCCACCTGTTTTCCGGGGATTTTATTTATTTATTTTCTGTTTAGATACTGAAGGACGACCTCTACAGAGATCCACTGAGATACTACCTCACTCCTCTCTGGGAACCGAGGGAGAACGGCAGGTGAACCAGACAGATCCACACACAGGATTATATTCTGATGGAGAAACAAATTGCAAATTTAGAGAAAAAACAAATCTGAAATGCTGTTTCTTTAAACTACAATTTATTGTCATATGAGATGCTTTCTTGTTTTTGGTGTTTGTCCAGAATAACTATCGTTTGTTGTTTGCATGACCGTCTCTATGCTTGTTTTTCCAGTAGCGCCACGGAGGCCAGAGCGGCTGGAAACGGAAATGGAGATGATTGCGTGGTAATTTCTGACTCGGACGACGAGCCGGGGGAGGACACTGGTGACGGCGATCGAGGCCGCAGCAGGGAGGATGAGGAGGAGGACGATGATGAAGAAGAAGAAGGTGTAGAAGAGGAGGAGGAGGAGGAAGACGGCAGGCGAGCGAGTCCAGGTCGGTGCAGAAACAGAACTGTGACATAACCGAAGTGTCCAGGTAGTTTGAGTTTTTGTTGTAATACTGGTTTTTACATGTGAGGTGAAGTTTATTGGACTGTTATAACTTAAAAAAAAGTATAATCCTTAGACTGTTTCAGATTTTCTCGTGTTACAAACAAAATGTCAGTTTATTTTATAGTGATTGGCAACAAAGAGTGGAGATAAATGATGGCATTAAAGATTATTTACAAATAAAAATAAATGCATTTGTTTTTGTCGCCCCATTACTTTGACTTTAATATGATTCATGGGAACCAGTTATATTCAAATTCACACAGATAGTAGATAAAGATCCATTTGTGAGTAATTTAATATAATAGTGCTCATAAGAACGGATAGGAACTGCTGTAATGGATGAAAATTGTTGTGATGGAGTCGGAGTAGAATCTTCTTAAAGTGGCAAATCTAATTTCAAGGCGTCAAATTGCAAATTTATTTTAGTCGCGTATGATGTATACAGCATTTTTATAGCAACATATTTACTAGTTTGTGTCATTTTATAGCACAATGTGCCTGGAAAATAAAACACTGCTCCTTTTAAAGAACGTTAGAGAGCAAACAGCATGAAGAGAGAGGGATTGTTAACATGTCGGAGATGATAAAACCAGTATCCTAAGATTTGAATGTCTCACAGAGCTCCTTTTAATCCATCATGTGAAGATGAAATGAGGTGACAAAACCGCAAACCGACCCAGTCACGGCTGTCCATCTAACCTGACAGGCCAGGCAAGGTGACCATTAATCAGAGAAGCCCCCAAGAGGCGCCGAACGATACAGCCTCACAGATCATCACAACACTCTTCTCTGTACTGTAATCGCCAGTATTCAGTTTTAACTCTGGTTTTTGATCAATACAAATGGAAAGAACATTTCCCAACATTATTAATGGGTAATAACATTTGTTTATTCTAAAATACCTATAAACATTGTAAGACGTCAATTAATACTGAACAAATATCAGTTTATACTTCCTTAATATTGATGTATAAAACTCACTTGCTTCACTCTATTGCTCAACATCTCTTTCATCGTGGTTAAAAAGTGGTGGCTCCATGAACCGCCTGATGTTCCACATGGATTATGTATCTTATTGGATTTTTAAAGCTTTATTATTTATTTTGGCCATTTTGTGCTAAAGTTAAATATTGTAATTGTTCTACTTCTCTTCACTATGCAGCACCATAATGTGGGAATGCATTTCTTCAGCAGGGTCAGCGAATCTGGTCAGAGTTGATGGGAAAATGGATGACAAAACCTTTTAAAAGCTGCAAAAGTATAAAATATGTGAATTGCATGGAAAAGATGTTCATGCACT